CAGCACCACTTGCAACCTTTTTCCAGGGTCTGCTTAACTCCCATACACTCCCATCTGAGTGGAAAAATGGAATTATCACTCCAATATATAAAGGAGGTAAGCGCTCGGATCCTGCTAACTACCGACCTATTACTCTCCTTCCTGTTTTATCAAAAGTTATGGAATCGGTAATCGCAGATGGACTGACGCGATACTTTGAAAGTCAACAGATAATTTCTAATGCCCAACATGGTTTCCGACGCAGACGATCTTGTCTCACCAATTTGCTGCTTACTCGGGACTTATGGACCAGGGCGGCTGATGAAGGAGTGCCCATAGATGTGATATACCTGGATTTTTCTAAAGCATTCGACAGGGTCAATCACTTCTTTCTCCTCCAAAAGCTTGCTGCCTACGGTATCAACGGTTCCCTGCTCACCTGGTTGGAAGACTACTTACACGACAGAGCAATCAAGGTAAGAGTAGCCGACACCTATTCTGAAAGCCTTTACGTCTCCAGTGGTGTACCACAAGGATCCGTCCTCGGTCCGCTACTGTTTTTAGTCTACATTAATGACCTTCCAGCAGACATTCTATCTCCAATGCAAATATTTGCAGACGATGCTAAAATATGGAGAGCAATTCGCTCAGCATCCGACCGTGTCTACCTCCAGGAAGATCTGACCCGGATTAACGAATGGGCAGAAAAGAACCAGCTCCCACTGAACCCTGCAAAGTGCCACCTGCTGACGGTGCACAACAGCTTCGTCAACACATACCTTTTGGGGCAACACGTCATGTAACACGTGACTAGTGAACGCGACTTAGGTATAATCGTGCAAGAGAGTCTTGGAAATTCGCTCCAATGTTCGAAAGCAGCAAGTGTGGCGAACTTGAACTTGAGACTTTTGAGGCGAGCTCTCGGCACTTTTGAGCGGCGGCTAGTACCATTGTTGATTAACTCCTACATTCATCCTCATGTTGAATATGCAATTCAGGCCTGGTGTCCATGGTTAAAACGAGACATCCGCCTCTTGGAACAGCCCCAAGAAGAGCCACAATGGCAACGCGTGGACTATCCGGTATAAGTTACGAAATGCGTCTTCGTGTACTCGGTGTGTTCTCATTAGAATACCGACGGCTTCGCGGAGATCTTACTCTCACATACCGGATACTAACCGAAAGCGAGCATCCATGTACATCACTATTGACTCTAGCCCCATACAAACAAAACCGAGGCAACCACCTGAAACTAATGACGCAACACTCTCGTTTGAATTGTAGAAAGTATTTTTTCTCACTTAGAATCTGTTCTCACTGGAATGCATTACCAAACTATGTGGTGAACGCACCAAACATGACGACATTCGAAAGACTCTTAGATTTTCGTCTTAGTGATAAACGATACACAACACTTTGCTAAAGTGCAATGATTTAACCACTGATACTTTATTTTCCACGTTGGAACATTATAATTTTAATTTTCTTTTGCATATCCATCCTGTAGGTCTTGTAAAGTTATGCTTTTTATCCCATCATACACCACTGAACCATTAGCCTAATCAATGTGGCTGCCAAAATCTTTGCACGAATCTTGCTTTCCCGCTTTGCCAACGTGAGGAACTTGCGAAGTTGGCATACCCAAGGTGACTTTCGTCCAGGCAGATGCTGCACTGATCAAGTCTTTACTCTATGTCGGGTACTCGAAAAGCGCTACCAGTTCCAACAGCTCACGGTAGTGTGCTTCGTTGATTTTCGAGCTACCTTTGACTCAGTTGACCGTGAAGCACTCTGGTACATTCTACTTGCCGATGACATGTCGGTCAAACTCCTTAACTTGCTGAGGTCATACTACCGTTGCAGGAAGGCTCGGATTCGGGTCTATGGAGGAGAAACAAAGGAAGTTGACATCAATACTGGAGCTTGGCAGGCTTGCCCACCTTCTCCAGTGTTGTTCAACTTCGCAGTCGACTGGGTTATGCATCATGCCCTTGAGGACCATCGTGGTGTTCGAGTTAGACTTGCCTTCTGGCGGTCAGACCTAGAATTTGTTGACGATATCGCCATCCTTGCAGAAGATCCTATATCCCTCCATTCACCGCCTCTATGATCGGCCTCGAAATTAACATCAGCAAGCCGAAGTACTTCTCATCGTCAGCCACCCAGACAGCCCCGTCGCTCTACTTACAGGGAAAACTCATCGAGTCTGTTCCTGGGTTCAAGTATCTTGGATCCAATATTCTTCCTAATGTTCAGGCTACATCCGAAACCCTGAAGAGTATTGACAGCGCTAGAACAGAGTTCTTACAACTGAGGAACACATTGTGGCGAAGGACGGAACTTAGTCTGAGAAGGAAAATCCGAGTATTCTCAGCAACCACTCATGTCATTTTACCCTATGGTTGCGAACTATAGCCGCTGCCATCCGAGGACATCCAGAAGCTGGATGTCTTCGACCTTTGGTGTCTAAGGATTATCTTTAAAACGAAGTGGCATGAGCGTATCACCAATGACGAAATCCGTAAGCGCTGTTACGGTCTTCCGAAGCTTACGACGCTCATCCAACGCCGCAGCTTTCAGTGGTTCGGTCACTTTCTCTGCAGGCCAGACACTGACTTTACTAGGGCCGTGGTTTCATCCCCTCCTTGCCAGGGTTCTTGTCGCCGCCGTGGTGGACAATTGAAAATGTGACTAGCTGAAATGAAATTGGATGTCGATCTTCTGGGACTCCATGTTTTGCATGGTGCATATCACTGGAGAACTCAGTGGATCAGCATTTGCGTGGAGCTTGCCTCCAACCGCCACGCTTAGACAGCTGCAATCCGCGATGTTCGTGAAGCCGGCTCATCCTGTCTCAGAAGCTAACGGTAGTAAAGTAATTAAGTTAGTACGAAGAGGCCTGTTTTCCGATGCGGTTAAGTAAATCAATGAACTTGCCAGCAAACACGGTCCAGGCAGTATCATTGGAACGGTCGTCCGAAAACTCACAGATAGCATCTCCAGCAAGTTTTGTCAGGTTGTCGTGGAGTATGATTGTTCGAAATAAGTCAATATTCTCTCTGGTTCATTAATTACGCCCATTCAGATATTGGAAGCATAACACTCGCGAAGCGAACTCTTTTCGTCGAATCACTTCAGGAAAATACACTTTTAGGCAAAGAAACTGACAGGTAAGCGTCTACGGCAACATTACATTACGGTAACATTACATTACGGCAACATTACGGCTGAGTATTCTGATTGCAATGGCTTCGGCGGTGGCCAACAAGCGCTTTCTGATTGCTTTGGGGTTGCACCTTGGTGCCACGTAGCCGCGATAAACTGAAGATGGCACATAGACAGATCAAAAAACATATGCAAAATGGAAAAACGAAGTTAAGCACTATTCGTTTAGGCGACATCTGCAATTTATTTGTTTATTCAGGCAGATATTAAAATGAGGTAAAATATTAGCATTGAGACAAGATAGCAAACACATTATCTGAAATAAAGAGACTCAGCAGGCAAGCACATCGTTAATAAGTCTAATGGAGCTTACCTACAAACGTTGCGTGGGTTCTGCCTACATTCTCAGCAGAACCCGTCGTCGTTTCGATGTTGGTACTGAGTGACCTCACTTGTAGCTCGCTAGACCGGACTGACTCAAGCACTAGCAACTGCATATGCTACAGCACCACCCGTTTGAAGTAGATGAAGTAAACCGCATCGGAAACTGCCGCTTCCGCACTTGCCGCTTCTTCTCTGTATGTATGAGGTCTTTCTCCCGCACTTCGGCAACTGCCTTCGTGATTAGATCACGCCATGCACGCCGATCAAGCAACTTCGATTCCCATGCCCTGTAATCAAGATTGGAACGTGAGAGGGTCACTTCGATCATGTCCTGATAACGTAATCGGTTTTCTCACATGTTGCTTCCCTGCACTCAGTGACCATATAACAGTTGCTTCAGTACCCGCGTCGAATCCATACGCCACACCAACCTAGGTGTCAGCGAAAGTATGCAGTCCACTGCATACATTCCACTACGGCGCAACACTTCCGTGTCTGCAACTCTTTCGCAAGAACTGATGCACAGAATCCATCGCAGACACTTTTAATGAAATCGCTCGAGATATCTCCCATCTCGCCGGTACGTCGTTCACCTTTCTCAGTCGTACAGAAGAACGTACAGCACCATGGATTGTACATCATCAGCTTCGTGCCAACGGTAAGCTGGTGGTTGTCCCACACTCGGTACTCCAGCTTCCCGAATACCGCCGCTGCCTTCGAGACGCGGATATGCAGTTCGCTGTGAAGCTGCTGGTCAGTCGACATCACACTCCCAAGGTAGCAGAAGCGGGATGTGGTTTCCAAACTTCGTCACCAATACTGATTTGAGGCAAAATTGCAGTTTGCACCTACGGTGAAGGTTGAAAGAGATAGACAATTCTGCTTGTGCTGATGTTGCGCCCGGATTTGGACGCTGTCGAAGCCAGAGCACTACACCTATTCTCAATTCGTTGCGTCGTTCCCACAAATATTTGCATCGGTGGCGCTTGGAACTGCATTACCTGCATCATGTGAAACCTTGCAGTCGTATGAGCCATACCCATGGACTGCTCTCGACGTGAGATCACGTGAGCACACGCGATGCAGCTTTGGGGGAACGACGCAACGAATTGAGCAAAGGTATAGTCATGTGCTGCAACTCATCCGCGCCGTGTGTAAACAACGCACAGTCATCAGCAAACAGAAACATACGGATAGTTGTCTCACAGACTAGAGTTCTCGCACCGAAACGACGGATATTCAGCAACCCACCATCAATACGGTGTCCACAAAACATACAAGCATCCATAAACAACACCTACTGATCAGGAACACAAATCGAAAAACGAGAACGAGCAACAACCAAGATACACACACAAACCACAAAGTAGGACACCAACACAAAGCACAAAACAATACCACAAAATGGTACACAATCCTAGGACCCAACACTACAAACATCACTGAACACAAAAAAAAAGGAAAATAAACAC